AGATATATATTATACTGACTTTTAACACTTTTCTGGTTCGTTATGCTTGTAAATGAATACAGACTAGAGATTCAATTAAAGAAAGTTTGGAAGGAGCGAAATATTAACAACATTCCAAAGGTTGCTCCCCATACTATGACGTCATATTTCCGCCAAAATTCAAGTTTTCTATTTGTGATCCTAGTTTGTGTATTTTGTTCAATTCTTAATACAACATTCAACTTTTCACAATTGAACATTCAACTTTTCACACAATTGAACATTCAACTTTTCACACAATTGAACATTCAACTTTTCACACAATTCAACATTCAACTTTTTTACGCAATTCAACATTCAACTTTTCACAATTGAACATTCAACTTTTCACACAATTCAACATTCAACTTTTTTACGCAGTTCAACATTCAACTTTTCACAAAATTAAACATTCAACTTTTTACGCAATTCAACATTCAACTTTTTACGCAATTCAACATTCAACTTTTACGTAATTCAACATTCAACTTTTTACGCAATTCAACATTCAACTTTTTTGAACATCCAACCGCAATCCAATTTAAACGACGTAACGCCGGCTCAGATGTGGCTCAATCACAAAGTGTAAAATATGGCGGATTTAAGCAAAGTGAAAGGGTGATTGCTAGATAGTATACTTCAAAATAAGGTTTCCGTTTTTATTACGTGGAAAAAACTATCCTTAACGTAAAACTAAACCCTAATACTAAACCTAACCCTAACCTAACCCTAACTCTAACCTAACTCTAACTTATTTTAAAAATAGTATAAAAACGGAAATCTTATTTTGAAGTATACTATCTAGCTAGCAATTGCCGAAGTGAAAGAGACACTAGTCAAGTTAGCAAATAGAATTTCCGACTTGCAACAGTCAAGTGAGGCATCTAACAATTCAGGTAAGTGTAATATTGATTGTATTGGTTTATTAATATTCCTCTAAAAGTACTGTACTACACCTGAGTGACCTCTACTATTTTATCAACATAAAATTTTAAATTTACATAAAATTTAAATTTACAAATTTTTAAATTTACATAAAATTTGCGGCGCTAGGTAGAGTGTCGTTTGTATAATCTTATGTTTTTAGGATAAATTGATTCGAACAAAATAAAAAGCAGCGAATAAGTGAATGGAAGGTGTTTTTGTACGCGTTTAATCCACAATTTGATCGAAATATATTATAAAGTGTATACAGGTGAATATGATGCTTGTGATGTTACTCTGGGTGTATATCTACACCGGGCAAGCTTGAAAAACATGCCTGACCACGGTGGGAATCGAACCTACGACCTTTGGAATACTAGCCCAATGCTCTGCCAACTGAGCTACGCGGTCTGGTCTTTATAATATATTTCGATCAAATTGTGGATTAAACGTGTACAAAAACACCTTCCATTAATTTATTCGCTGCTTTTTATTTTATTCGAATCAATTTATCCTAAAAACATAAGATTATACAAACGACACTCTACGCTAGCGCCGCAAATTTTATGTAAATTTAAAATTTTATGTTGACAAAATAGTAGAGGTCACTCAGGTGTAGTACAGTACTTTTAGAGGAATATTAATAAACCAATACAATCAATATTACACTTACCTGAATTGTTAGATGCCTCACTTGACTGTTGCAAGTCGGAAATTCTATTTGCTAACTTGACTAGTGTCTCTTTCACTTCGCTTAAATCCGCCATATTTTACACCTCGTGAGTCGTGATTGAGCCACATGTGAGCCGGCGTTACGTCGTTTAAATTGGATTGCGGTTGGATGTTCAAAAAAGTTGAATGTTGAATTGCGTAAAAAGTTGAATTACGTAAAAGTTGAATGTTGAATTGCGTAAAAAGTTGAATGTTGAATTGCGTAAAAAGTTGAATGTTGAATTGTGTGAAAAGTTGAATGTTGAACTGCGTAAAAAAGTTGAATGTTGAATTGTGTGAAAAGTTGAATGTTCAATTGTGAAAAGTTGAATGTTGAACTGCGTAAAAAAGTTGAATTGTGTGAAAAGTTGAATGTTCAATTGTGAAAAGTTGAATGTTGTATTAAGAATTGAACAAAATACACAAACTAGGATCACAAATAGAAAACTTGAATTTTGGCGGAAATATGACGTCATAAATGGAGAATGCAAAGAAGGAAATTGCTGTACTATATAAATGAAATTGAAAGGCTTGCCTAACGAGCGGTACATTTGGGAAAGATTTTATGTCCAAATGATCACTGCGTTGATAATAAGGATTTTTCCTCGAAAACGGTATTTTAATTAAAGGTATCCTCAGGAGACCAGCCTCTCGAAATTAGAAAGTCTGCTGGTCATGAGAGAACTCGAGATTATTGAACATTCTAAAAAAAATAACGATTTATTTCAAATGGTTGAAAATATATGTCTGGTGTTGGATGCACATCATGAAATATACTGCCTTTTTGCAGTTTGAAAGAGAAACTGACCAAGCAAAGTCAAAGAAACTGTCTTATTCTTGAATCTTTTAATTTTAATATAAATATTTTAATAATACATTGAATTTATATGGAATGTTGAAATTACTATTTATTTGTACTGATGATACCTTTTACCTCAGAGGAGAAAATTTATAACTAGAAAATATTTTATTGTAGGTTTCTTAGTTTCTAAAATTTTACCAATAAAAAGGCCTATATTAAACATGCATGACTGCTTTATAGTATGCAAAATATCAGTGAAGATATAAACATTTAATAAATTTAATAATATAAAACCTGTTTTGGCCATTTAGCTATTGTTGTAACTGGCTGACAGTAAGTTTAAAGGCTAAAGCACAAACTAAACACAGTGTTTTATACTTTGATGTGTATTTTGTTCTTCACCTTGCATTTGACCTATAAAGGCTATTGCCCTTGATTGCCAAAATCTACCATGTTTACACTAAGGAGTGGGGTAGACTCTGGACTTACCTGTGGCCACATATAATGCATTTGACACCTAGTTACAGGACAGTGTCTAAAAAACTGGACAATTTAATGGTATGGTTGCATATTGCAATTTGTTGGGCTGATTTCAGATGCATGTTAATAATAATCAACGATATTTGAAAAATATGTGGCAAACATCATCTGATGGTCTCACTGAAAATATGTGTCAACATTAAATATACACACATTACATATACATACACAAAAATACATATACACATGTACCATATACACACTTAACACACATGATTTACCCTGTTGTCATAGAAATTGGTCTCGGGATTAAACAATCCAAACATGTATATACTACAGGGTTAGCCACCCCAAATTCTTCACCTGAAACCATTTCAGGTCACTCAGGGTAGGTCCCAGTAAAGTGCTTGGACAACAACAAGACCTATCCCAGTTGTTTCTGTGCTTGTTCCTAAATCCTGTATATGGTCATTGGTTCAGCCAAGTTAGAACGGGCATATGTTTTACACAACTTGACTGAATAAGATATACCTCATCAACATGCTATGCAAACAACAACCCCTGTAACATTTAAAGTCTTGAGAATTTTATTTATTTTGCTCATAACATAAAGTACTACAATTTACATTCAAAGGAATCTAGCTAGAACTAGCAATATTTATGCAAATTTAATACTCTTGTGGGTTTTTATTTATAGACCCATGCACTCACCCACAGCTGAACTTCTCAACAAGCTAGGTACATTGGCACAAATTAACAGCTTAGCCCATCAAGTTCCACTGCACCCTACTGGGGCTATGGTGGCGTGCTGATTGTGCCACCGACTTTGGTAGTGCAATTGTCAGAGCGAGGACTTTTTACATCTGAGATTGTTGGTTCAATTCTCACCACTTCAACGACACTTAAATGTGAAAAGAGTCATGTGTCAACACTCTGACAAAAGTTGTGGGTTTTCTCCGGGAACTCCAGTTTTCTATAGAGGGAATGTTGACGGGTGGCTTGGGATTAGCCTCTAACTCACCCTCCATAAGGTGGCTGCCAGAGGCACCCTCAGAAAGTCTTTTACTCAATCAAATTGTGCTATGTTGAACTGTATCAGCTACAGAGAAAATATACATTTCATGGGTTGCAAATATAATATTATATCTATATTCATATCACATGTAGTTGAAAATCTTTTGGAATTCAAGAACATCAGTGACAAATGTCAAACTGCACACAATACACTGAAAAACAAAAATATTCAAATCACTTCATGGCAAATTTAATATACATGTATCAAGCAGTAGTCATAGTAGTGACAGCACTACTGGGTTCTGTATCAATTCAGTGATTGTTTGCTGAAAATAAACTAAGTATTTACAACTTTTAGAATTGTATAGTATAAAGACATTTGATCAGCAAATCTCTTTGGCTGGAACTCGACATGGGCTTTTGATTCTGGTGTTAAATTATTAAAGGTGCATCCCTGGTTGAAATTATTCTTTCTCCTTTTGTGGGCAGTTTACAAATTCTTTTAAAATATGAAACCTGTCCTATTTCTTGTAGTCATCTTGACCAAGATTTAATGATTTATACAATGATGCACACATAATATACAGAGAATATTGAAATCTCAAGGCAAACCAATACAAACACTCACCTCTAACACTCATTTCTTGATAATTCCTTCAGCGATTGTTCCAGGTCACCCATAAGCACATATAAATATAATCGTCAGCACCAAAAACGCCAAAAATAATTGAAAAGGCTCGAGTAAAAAGCTGAATGGTTCGATTCTTCAGATATCGTATTTCTGAAGAATCATATTTACATTTTCTGCCAGGCGCAGCAGAATCCCGTCGTGTGTTGACCTAGCACCCCCGCGCGCTCGCTCTCTTAGCCACTGATCTATATAAAAACACTGTAGTGTTGCTAATTTTTAGTACGTTATTTGCGCCTGGGTACGAGGCTGGTCACATCCGGTGTTCACTTGGAAAACGTTGCACTGCTTTTACATATATTACAGACATTGGATGGGATTCCTTGTTACCAGAACAACAGCGTTCTGAAATTTATTGGTATCATGCATTATGATGGTATGCCACTGAACATTGGTACATTTCCACGACCAAAAGGTAAGACTGTAGTATTTGATGGAATAACCCCACCAATTTCGTTAAATCAAATGGTGGGTCTTCAAAGAGACGGTGCCGGCTCCTTGAAGAAATATATTAGTGAACAATGCGAATGGATTTCTGAAGTGAATGAATACGATATTACAGATGCGAGCGGGTCTTTCTATATTAATGCCTATACAGAATACGCCACAACGAAAGGCACTGCAAATAAAGTCAAAGAAGCAGTTTCCACTGTCAGAAATAGCATTGAGGTCTGCCAACAATGTATCAAAGAACACAGACAAGTTGAATGTACATTTACAACCTTTAAAGAAGCATGCAACAGGTGTAAAACTTTACAAAGCCATGGCCAGGACGTGAAATGTACAAGTTTCAAAGTGTTGCATGTCTCTTCAGATCAAGCATCAGCACAACGGAAAGCCCATTCAGAATTAAACCAAGTAACACCAAAAGCGATAGACGATGTTGGTTACGTGCAATACGGTTTTGGTATGCTACATTTTTGCAAGAATGCCATATCATCCGCAAGAAACTACAGGTTGACAGACATGTCAGACACATTTACTATATCTATGCTAACTGCAATCTGGGCATCGACATCCGAGGAAAGTGCGAAAATGAAAGAAGTTGTACCAGCTGCAGTCTTTTCATTCAAGGATAGACATAGTGATGAGTTATGCTACCAAACTGTGTCCAAGAGTTTACAGGATATTGTTCATGCTACAAGGCATGTGCTTGTGACATTGGTACCTGAACAATACAGAACTTTCACCATGGAAGCGAAAACACACTCACTGCTTGGTCGACCATTGTATGTTACCACCAACTCCAATGGAGACTTCTTGTGGACAGGTATAGTACACAATATATTCTAGAAACAATAACAAGAAAAAACAATACCTGTATTTCAATATTCTTTTAGAAAAAATACCTTTTCAAAATTTTGAAAAAGTCTCCAAGAGATAATGGAAGTGTTTAATATCATCTGGTTGATTGATCCAATGATTTAAACATTACATTTCATTGAAATCCAGTTATTGTTTGAAAGAATAACATGTCATCCTGTTTACAACTGATATAATATAATGAATTTGTCACTATGTACATGTTACAAACTAATTAAAGATAAATAAAGACAAGTTAGACAATTCGTGACAGGGGAAAGGAACAGGTCTCTCGTCCCAAATGACACCTAACCCCTAAAGGTTTACCACTGACCCTGCTATAAACAGTGCTTGTTTTGTCCTTTAAACAGTCAATACAATACATTGTCTTGTTAGTTATCTCATTAAAAAACATATCTAATTACTACAGTCCAAAACCTTTGAATTTTTCTTTGGTAGATGCTGAATTTGAAGTTGTGGTTATGGGAAATCGACATAATCCTACCAAATGCATTGTCCTTGGAAAGTGGGATGAACCAGGTGAGAAAAATATGCCAGGTTATTCAATGTGTATAATACTGTCTGCAACGTCTGCAATATGTACAGTTTTCAATGTGTACAATATATCAGAGTACATGTAAAATTTATCACACTGTCAAGATCACAGTATAGTTATATATAAAAACATAATTATGCAAAAGCCTGAACTTTGATCTTAAATTGATTCTAATTTATTTATTACATAGGTTCGGCACATGTAAATCAAGTGGCACCTGCAAAAGCATCTTTTAGCCATCCAGCTGGTTTAGATGTTATGGTGTGCTCTCAGCAGAAGAAAGAAATCTGTTTTGTTGCAGATCAAGGTAACCATGTCATTCGCTTGTAAAATCCATCAATTGTTCTAAGTTAGTGGGAACACTTAAGCTACATCCTGTGCCAGAGAAATGGAGACCAGAAGGACTTGCAGTTATCAATGGCACAACCTTAGCAATAACGGCAGGAACAATTTTAGTAATAGCACGACTTGATAAATCCTTGCTGAATGGTCAACTAATCAAAATTGTCAGCAACTTGCAATCTCCTAGAGGACTTTGTTTTCATCCAAGAAAATCTAATACCATTATGGTGGCAGATGGCAATGTGGTCAAAGAAATAAACACAAGTTCCAAAGAAACATCTGTTGTAGCTCAAGGATTTCAGACAGCCTTTGATATATCAGTAGCTGTAAATGGTCAGATAGGTATAACAGATGTTGGTTCACACAAAGTTCATTTATTGGAGTGGGAAGATGATGAAAGTGCATGGGTTACCTCTACAGTTATTGGCAGCGGAAATGCTGGATGCAGAGATGGAAATGCTACGACTGCTGAGCTTCATGAGCCAACAGGGATAACTTTTGAAATGAATTCTGCACTGATTTGTTGTATTGGAGGAAGGGATCATGGGTGTATCAAGCTGTACTCTCAACTTGGCTTTGCAGCAGAATTTATGTCAAGCATCCGGAACATCTACGATGCAATTGGTTTCTTGCCAAAGAAAGAGCACAACAAGAAACGTAAATCATACCATACCCCAATATTGCCATTCACAGATGGAATAAGGAAGTTGTCCAGCAGCCTGGCATATATGGGAAACATAATGTCCAAGAGAAAAGCACACCTGAAAAAGAGCTGTTTAGATGGATCTGATGGTTCTATTTACACACAGACTTTGGAAGGATTTTCAGAATCTGTTGTTTCTTTGCAGTACCATTCTAGTGCATTTGAGGAACTTGATATAGATTCAGCATATATGAATCTGTATGCATTCACAAACGAATCAAGAAAAGAACACAACTTTGCTAAACATAAACAGAGTGGACAATATCGCCATCCTACCATGCAGCAATACAGCCGAGCAAAAGGCTGTGAAGAAGAACAGATAAAGAAGTTGTGTGAATGTCCGCACTCTTATCACACAAATGCATTCCAAGCATACCAAGCAATGCACAAATCTCCACTTTCATCCATTTCAGTCATTAAAGAGTACAGAGAAATTAAGGACAATCTTCGACATGAAGAAATAGCCCTCACTGAAGAAGAAAATACATCATTGAAGGAAGATATAATGAAGGCAAGAGTTATGAACATGCTCACAAAAGCACTTCCAACCCAGAATGTGAGAGATGTTTACAGGGCAAGGTGTGGCTATGCACCCTGCATTATTGAGCAGGTAGATGCTGCATTATTTCAAGATAAAGATGCATGCGAAAGATACTATCCAAGCTTCCAGCAGTTAATGGATGAATTAAATGAAGACATTGACAATAATGATGTCAATACAAACATTGCTAAAAACAATGACTACACTGTTAAAAATAAATGTATTTTTACAGAAAAAGTTCTGTAATATTTTACAGTAATTGGACTGTAATTCTAAAAATACAGTATGAATTACTGTAATAAAAAAAAGTTTTGTATTTTAACAGATAATTTATTGTAATATATTGCAGTGATTTCACTGTAACTGTAAATTACAGTACAAATGTTGTAAAAAAACAGAACTCTGTATTTTAACACATCACTTTCTGCAATATTTTACAGTAATTGGAGTATAATGACGAACTACATAAAAATGCTGTAAAATAACAGATTCCATGTAGTATTTAAACATACATTATAGTCTATTGAATACGATAATAACTAATTAATTGGACTTGGGGTGTGCAGTATTCTGGGATTTTTACCGCATGCACTCGTTCGACGAACACTGAAGGTGAAGGAACTCGAAATTTAATACTAGAATAGATTACTTGCACTCGCGGTGTTGAACCTTGGGGTGCATGTAATGATGTAAATCCCGATAACACAATCCAAGAGGGTTTATATAAGCAGTGGATAAGCTATATGACAATCACTGTCTGTGACTGCACTGCCACTGCAATGATAAATTGCAGTGCCGAAGGCGAAAGTAAAACAAGAGAAAATTCAAAAATTAAGTCTAAGACTAAGACTATTTAACTTATTAAAGAGTGTCAAACAAAAGTCAGATTATGCTAGTATAGCTATATTAATAATTGCACATGATCTAAACACGTAAAAATCGTAAAACTTGTTGACTAACAAGCCTGTTTCATTGTTTCAAGATGATAAAAAAAAAGCTTGGAGTTGGATAGAAGCTTGTTTAGCCTGCAGCGTGCACGTGAACCCCACGCAGTCACGCATTGCGAACAGGCATATGCTCGTGTGAGTCTCTAAGAACAAGATAACACGCGCGTAATAATTTTCATTGTTTTACATAATTCAATCGAATCAAAACATGAAATACTTTCCATAATAATATTGGTTACGTTTCCATTGATTGTACTGCATTTTATTATAAAAATAGGTAGCCATGGCTGGCTATAAAACGTGAATAACACGTGATACAGGAAGTCATTGTGGGGTTATGACTTATGAACTTTGATCTTTCATCGCGCGCCACTTCACTGGCAAAAAGTTGCAAAGCTGGCAAAAAACTGTAAAGGCAGCACAGCTGAAGCTGCGTTTAAAATATGTCTAAATCTAAACGTTTTACGGTTCAATGGATACGTGATCAGTTTGCTCTATAAATCTCATCGCCGAGCTCTCGTTTTGACGTTTTATGCTGTTGGAATTGGATAATCAGTGATTCAATGTGCTCTATAAATCTCAGCGCCGAACTGTCGTTTTGAAGTTGTCCATTTTCCTCGAGGCTGTACTTGTTCGAGCTTGTGTTTATGTGAAGTTGTGAGTACTAGCTTATGTCTTTTCTGTTCAATGCTTTTGTGTTGTATATTTTCGTATTATTAATGTACCGTTGCAAGGCGTCTACGTGTTGTCATTTGAGTCGTTCGTTAGTAGCTTATGTTGACCATTATAGGCTTCATTCCAATGAGGCCAACGTAAACTTCCCTTGCGCAGTTAGGAATTGTATTCGAAGGTTTCGAACATATAATGCATTCAAATCGCATGTTACAAGGGATCATGAAAATGCAAGACGGGGGGACTCTAATACAGTTAATAGCTCTGCTGCAACACAATGCCAATGTAGTTTTTGCGCCAAGATTCTGCAAAGCATAAAAGATTTAATTGCTCATCAAAAAGAACACATCATGCAAGGTGTCGAGGTAACTTGCCCTTTTCATAGCTGTAACTCAAAATTCAAAATAAAGTCATCATTTACTTCTCACCTAAGTAGGCGCCATAAAAATCCTGCCAACAGAGTGGTGTCTTCTGAATTACTTGTACATATAAATAGCCAAGCAACCAATGACAATTCAACTTCAAGTCAGTTGGATGGTTTTGGTTTAGAAGTTGACATTGTTGGAGAGACCTCCAACAATGACAATCTGGAAAATGATGATACCCAAGAGAATATAAGTGAGTTATTTGTTAAAAATTTGGCATTATTTTACCTGAAACTAAATGCCAAATTTCATGTGCCTGCTAGCACTATCCAAAAGATCATCCAGGAAATGCAGGCAATGCATAACATATCTCAAATTCACTTAAAACAGCATGTAAAAATTAAATTGGCAGAAATGTCTGTTGGGAATGAAGTAATTGACCAAATTGCAAGTGAATTTTTACCAAATGATATATTCAATCTGGCTCATGGCGATAAAGGCACATTGAGCACGGATTATAGGCGAAAACATTTTTTTAAGAATAACTTCAATTATGTGGCCCCGGTTACAATATACCTAGGTTTTGATAAAAATCATGTTAAAAGATATTATGAGTATGTACCAATAATAGAAACAATACAGGAACTTTTAAAAGATGCAGGTGTAAAGGAGCAATTTGAGAAACCTATTTTAAATTCAGATGAGATTTTAAGAGATTTCATGGACGGCAGTGTAGCCAAAAGTAATATTCTTTTTATTGAGCTAGGAAATGCAATAAAGCTCATTCTCTACCAAGATGCATTCGAAGTTGTCAATCCTCTTGGATCAGCAAAAAAAAAGCATAAAGTTTTAGCTGTTTATATAACATTAGGAAACATTTACCCTCAAAATAGATCACAAATTGACCAAATGCAGCTTGTTCTTCTCGTACGAGAAAAGGATTTTAAGTTTTTTGGACAAGATGCTGTGTTTCGTGTCCTGGTAAATGATCTCAAAAAAATTGAGCAATATGGTGTTCTTATTGACACAAAATACATACGAGGAACTGTTGCTATGATTCTTGGCGATAACTTAGGTAGTCATTGCATTGGGGGATTTGTAGAAAACTTTAGCAGCTGTCCTTATGTGTGCAGATTTTGTCTTATGGAAACTGAAAACATTCATCTTGGCGATGTTTTTGACACTTTTTGTCAAAGGTCCCCTGATAACTACAATGCCGACTTGCAAAATCTAGAAAGTAACCCAGACTTAAATAACTATAAGGGCATCAAGTTTAATTCAATTTTCAATGAATTAAGATATTATCATGTTTGTAATCCTGGTTTACCACCTTGTTTGGGCCATGATTTGTTTGAAGGTGTTGTCAATTATGATTTGGCCTTGTATATACACCATATGGTGAAAGTTAACAAGTGGTTTACATATGCCCAATTCAATCAAATAGTGACAAATTTTAAATATAGTGGAAGTGATGCTAATAATAAACCAAGTATAATTTCTGAAGAAGGTAGTAAGTTAGGTGGTCATGCTGTTCAGAACTGGTGTCTCCTGAAACTTTTACCACTTTTTATTGGTTCAAGAGTTAACAACACCAGTGATCCTGTGTGGCAGTTAACACTGCTTCTGAGGGAAGTTGTTGAGCTTATATGTGCACCAGAAATTAGTTTGGCACAAGTAGCATATTTGAGAGTAAAGCTTGAAGATTATTTAGAGCAAAGAGTTGAACTCTTTCCAGACAAGCCAGTGAAACCAAAGCACCACTATATGGCACACTACCCAAGGCTTATTTTACAATTCGGACCGTTGATAAGAGTTTGGACTCTTCGTTTTGAGAGTAAGCATTCATATTTTAAGAAGTGTGCCCGCTATAGCCAGAATTTTATTAATATATGCCATACATTTGCTGAGCGGCATCAACTTTTACAGGCTTACCTGAACAATGGTTCGCTTCTTCGTGTTAGTGCAAGTGTTGAAAATGCTATCACATTTAATGTAGATCTGTATAACGATAGCATTAAAAATGCCTTTTGCAGCCATCACTGTTTAACTGAAGAAGTTGTTACTTCTTCTGTAGCACTCATTGATGGCATTCAATACAGAAAAGATTTTTTTGTTGTCCTAGATTGCCAACAGAGTAACTTAACATTGGGTCAAATAATCATGGTTTTTCAACATAAAGATAACACAGTTTGTATTTTAGTTAAGAAAGTTCCAGCTCAGTATCACTCTGAGATGGGGTATTATAAGATTGCAGGAGTTGCTAGAGAGTTGGGATTCAGTTGTGTTAGGTTGTCTGATCTCAAATCACACTGTTGTTTGCCATCATATACAATAGAGAAAGAGCAAGTCATTGTTCTGAAACATACAATTCTGGATTAAATGTTTGAAAAGCATTTAATAAAGATAAGTATTTTTAGGCTGGGGCTGTTTAGGACTACAGCTAAAATACAGCCATTATATCTTTTTAAAAGCATTACTTAGCCTTATGCAAAGATTTCCTGTATGCATGCATGTTTGCTAGTATGTGAGCTGCAAATTTTCACAGTATACAGTATGAGTACAGAAATGAGTTTTCCAACAGTGGGATAGAATTTCTCTTAATTTTTGGTCTTATTATAGGTCTAAAGTAGCTGAAAAATTCTAACAAGATCCTGTAAAATATGGATGAGGTTGTACAATTACTTCAGAAGTTACTTCCCCTGTTGTCAGTAGATTTGATTGAAAAAACAAAAGATAAATTGATTGAGATTGGAGTTAATAGTGTTGAAGATCTACAACTTCTTCAAGAGCGAGATCTGACCGGTGTTCTAAAACCCATACAAATAAGGAAACTATTGCAACATTGTAATGCAGGTGTGTATGGTGATAATAGCAAATGCTTTACAATTATTAGCAGTTAATTTCAAACTTTTACATACAGTATGTACATGTATTCAGAAATAAATATTTTTCATTTATACATTTCACTTTAATTAACTTCACCTCTTATGCATGCATGCACTTTAATTTACATTTCCATTCAAATTTAAACCCACCAGGAAATATGTGGTTAACATCCCCATTGTTTTACTGCTGCCTTGTTTAAACCCTAGCTGGTCTTCACTGGCAACATAAGCATATAAGCAAGAAAACAAAGCATGTATGTTGCTCTGAGGATTTCAACGCTGACAAAAGTAAATAATTTTCCTTTGAATTTGCTTTTGTTCTATCTTAGTTTACGCTTGCAGTCTTATGCTTGTGTTGCACATTTCACTGCATTTCTTTGTTTTGTCTTAGTTTGTGCTTATTCTTATTTGCAACATTGGTGTGCTTTGCATTTCTGTAGCAAAAACTCCTGCTGCACCAATAGTTATGTCATTGCCTCTTCGGAAGGAAACTTCTAACACGACACCGGCAAAGAGTATTGATAGTTCATTTGATTCACCATGTTCGGGACGAAATACTCCAATTATGTTTGATGATAGTGATATCCAATCAGATACTGGAAATGATAGTGCATCTGGTAGAAAGACAAGTAACCACTGGATCAACAATTTCCAAATACCCTGGAGTAAATTTCCTAAATCTTTGCTCGATGCCTGTACCAGTAAGGTACGACCAACGCCGCGTGATAGACGTGAGATGATACGGATCATATGTAATGATATTAAAATGCACACTTTACTTCCTGGAAGGAAAAATCTAGCTCGGATTGCAGAAATGATGGTAACCAAGTACAAGGATGCGTTTTGTGATACTATCGGTGACACTGTTATTGGTTCGGGTTACGAATCCCTGCGAAAACAACTCGAAGAAAAGATGGCAAACTTGAATAGGAAAACTGACAAAGCTATTGTAAAGTTGAATGTTTCCAGTGATGACGACAACGACTCTGAAACAAAAGTCAAGGCAAAGAAAAGACTTGGACCTGATTCATACGGATGTATAAACTGGCAACCGGACTCATTCCCCAGCAGCGAGACACCTACCAGTCAAAAATCAAAACAAGATTGGCTTGCTGAAGAGTTTCCCAAGAAAAACCAGAACAAAACCAAAGTTTTGCAATTCATGGAAAATACCTACATATCTCAGCGTCTTCTTATAAACCAAACCGACACAAATCCAGTGTCAATTGAGGAACTTCAAATCCAATGGCCCTTCTTATTTGAGAAAGACTGTTTGTTTCAGCACTTTGAACTTCTTATGGGATTTCATATCCAGAAGGTCATGCTAGAAAGTGTTGGAGACAAAGTAGATACCATATTCAAGTTTATGAAAGAGAATGCTAATCATTCAAAAAAAAACCTGAACCAATTTGTGATTCGTATAGAAGCTGCTATGTCTGCAGAGAAAAGCAAAATACCCCTGATGGATGGTGTATATCTATTGCTCATGGCTTACTTTGAAGAACCTCAAGAGCTTATGATTAAGTCATTTGATGTAAGTATCTGCCATGAAGTAAATTAATTATCTGGTGCTAGAGTTTGTAACGAGTAGGATCGACCAGGAACTGGATGGTAGCATGAGTGGATTGTAGCATGTAGTCAAAAGTTAATAGTCGTTGGTCTGTGACTACATGATTGTGTTAACAATACAAGTGATAATTAGTCTTTGTAAAGACCTGCATTTGAAAAAACAAAGACATGTTAGTTGAATTGTTGTTAGCACAATCATGTAGTCATAGACAAATTATTAAGATTAGCTTTGGACTGAATTGTACAAGAATAAGAATAATATACATGTTATTAATATTAAATATCATGTTTCGCTCGCTACTCTGGTTTAACTAAATATTACAAAGCATGTCGAATTGTAATCAAGACGCAACGTTTCGACACTCCAGTCTAGTGTCTTCATCAGGGGTGATCTAAAGATGCAATCGTGGCTTCTTAATTAAAGACCCAAGGGATGACGTCACCTGCCAATGAGATGCATGTATATTCCTCTGCCAAATCGGCACCGTCATCCTTATTCAAAGCATGATTACTCATATTTACATTCCACGCTTCTAGGCAAAGTCTTTGACCATAGTGATTGTTTGTGGTAATTACTTTAGAGTTTTCCCTCGCAATCTCGTGTTTGACGTAACATACATGTTCTGCTAAAGCTGATTTCCCCTTGTCTAAAGTTGAAACAGCCTTTTGATGTTCTTTTAGCTGTGTACCAAACTCGCGTTTAGACTGACCCAAATACTCTTTCTCGCCAGTCACTGCATTGTACGTATAGAATATACAACATGAGTTTTCTGATTTGTTTTACTGTCCATGCAATGGAAGTGTTGATAAAATATTGCATGAATTCATTTCCTCAAGTTGATCAATTCATTTGATAGAAAATCGATCAACTTCCTGTTCCTTCTAGATGAGCCAAATAGATTTCGTTTCAGAACCGACTGACCTATAGGAAACGCACAGGAAGTAAAAAGAAATTTGAATTTGTATGAATTGATCAACTTGAGGAAATGAATTCATGCAATATTTTATCAACACTTCCATTGCATCGACAGTAACCGGATCTTTTGGCTTTGCGAAAATATGACCTAAAGTCAAATATAGGCAACCTTAATATTACAATTACTTAATATTCTCTTGATTGGTTCCGCGACACCTTGAATGTATGGAACTGTTGCATAACTCTTAACAGAGGTATCACCCTCGTAGGAACCAAAAAAACTCCCAGGGTGATACCTCTGCTAAGGGTTATGCAATAGTTCCATACATTCAAGGTGTCACAGAACTAATCAAGAGAATATTAATTTAAGTAATTGTAATATTAAGGATGCCTTAAAACCCCATTTGATTTTAGGCCATATTTTCTCAAAGCCAAAAGATCCTGTTAAAACAAATCAGAAAACTCATGCTGTATATTCTATACCATGCGGTGACTGCGAGAAAGAGTATTTGGGTCAGTCTAAACACCAGTTTGGTACACGGTTAAAAGAACATCAAAAGGCTGTTTCAGCTTTAGCAGAACATGTATGTTACACCAAACACGAGATTGCGTGGGAAAACTCTAAAGTAATTACCTAGAAGCGTGGCATATAAATATGAGTAATCATGCTTTGAATAGGAATGACGGTGCCTATTTGCCAGAGGAATACATGCATCTCATTGGCAAGTGACGTCATCCCTTAGGTATTTAAGAAGCCACGATTGCATCTTTAGATCACCCCTGATGAAGACAATAGACTGGAGGGTCGAAACGTTGGGTCTTGATCATTCGACTGGGCTTTGTAATCATTTAGTTAAACCAGAGTAGCGAGCGAAACATGATTGATATATCTGGTTGCAGTGAACTTTAAATATTATTATATTATTACTCTCCGTCTCTCCGAATACGCATGTCTAGTCAAGAATGGCTTGTACTTTGCCCCTAAAACGAAAATCTAAAAGCGTCTATCGATGAGTATTATCGCTTACAATCATTGTGTCAATAGCGCAGATAAATATGTCATAAGTTTTCGTTAATTAAGTTTTAGCATTATGTATTTTAGGAAACTGCCACTGTTACAGATGTGGTGAAAAACTGTCCTAGCACACCGTACATAGCTGTGTTTGGTAAGTAATTGTCTCATGGTTAATTCTATTATCCACTATCCTACTTGCAACTACATCCATCCATCTAGTCAGCAAGACATTTCATTCAGGCTAGTAGAAAAATTAATTCAGGTGGCAGATGCAACTGAAAAACAATAGCGTTAACTGGATATATGGTATCACTGGAGATATAACTATTTCAATTAAAGTTGTCAGCCAATAGTCAAATATATAATATGAGCGCAAAAGAACGATTGGAATAATATAATTAATATGTTTATTATGATTATTCCCATCATTCTTTCCTGCTCATATTGTACTCAGCGCTGTAGCTAGAACGCTAATTGGGGGGTGTGTATATTCATATGTTCGTGTTCTGCCTGACGGATTTCTTTTGAAATCGATTGTCTTCATGGTATGTGAACATGCATATATGAATATACACCCCCCCAATTATCGTGTCTAGCTACAGCCCTGATTGTACTATTGTCGGTGATAACCTTAATTGAAATAGCTGTATACTTGATATCCTTAAGCACGTAAATAGAATAATGTGATGACATTAGGTTCTCTGAAATTAACATCGTTTAAATTATAGATACAAAGTTTGAAGGTAATTTTTCATAATTTTGGAATATGACCATCACATTGATTTTGTGAATTCATAACTGAAAACCAGACCTCTATATTAAGATGTGTAAAATATTTTACCAATTTAAAATACTGTTCATTCAAAATTTCCTTATGCAATGTGATGTCATATATTTCACATTTGCATTATAAAACAAAAATATTGCCCAAAATTATTGCCAACAATTAAACTGCCCAATGCCCACATGTCTGAATCAATGTCCGAACAAAGGAAAGGTTGAACGATGTGCTTGACTATTTATTAATAATATTATGCCTTGGGATTAAATAGGTGATGAGCTGTTGGGGAAAAGGTGCTGTTTGGTGCTGGATGGTATTGTCGTAAATGACTCTCTCACAAGCATATATGAAGGACTGATGATGTTGTTTGCCTCATACTATGTGTTAAACATAGCATATCCCGATGAGCTATCAGCCACTTTGGAATTTATTCAGAGGTCAGTACTTATTTGTTTACATCCATTACATGTAGAAGGTCTATTACTTGCATTTCAACGAACCGGGATATTATATATGGAATTATTTTTAAGTATCACTCGTAATGCAAATCATGATTGGTCCCCCTTTAAACGGCTTACAGGTAAACTAGGTGAAGTGTTCCTCTTTTCAGTTCCCAACTCATAATTTGGAATTTCCCTAATTAACTTTGCAAATTTCCCTTAGGGACATTTGCAATATTCCTAACTTCCTGTTCCCAAATACCTGTGATTGATATTTGTGATGTTACTCTGAGTGTATATCCACACCGGGCAAGCTTGAAAAATATGGCTGGCCACGGTGGGAATCGAACCTACGACCTTTGAAATACTAGCCCAATGCTTTGCCAACTAAGCTATGCAGTCAGGTCGGTTCGAGTATGTGATATTTCGGAACTGAATCTAGTTCCTTCGATATCAATGCAATCTATTAGTCATGAATTGTTTTCTGTGTCGGTGTTATGTACTCAGGTGAATATGATATTTATGATATTTGTCAGAGTAACATCACAAATATCATATTCACCTGAGTACATAACACCAACACAGAAAACAATTCCTGTGATTGATAGTTTGCTTTTGTTGACCAGTCACAATGCAAAGCACAAAACAGGAAGTTACAAAGTTTGAACAGGAAGTTAGGAGCATATAATTGGCTTAGGAATGTTTCTAACTTCCTGTTCTTTTCTGTGCGAGTGACTAGCCAAGAACAATCTACCAATCACAATGCAAATGCAGTGAAATTCCAAATGAGTTAGGAACTGAAAAAACGAATGCTTCACTTACAGTAGATTATCAGTATGTTACTGATTAATCCAATTATCAGCCTCACTATCCTCTCACGTATTCTAGGAAAGGATGAAATGTGGGCAGTTTTCCTATATAATGACCGACTGCATGATGGTTAGGCTAAGGATGATTTGATTAGTACACTTGCATATAGAAATATGTTAACTTTACTTATAAATGATTGTATTTTTCGGTTTCAATATAGATGTTTTCTCAACCTGAACCCAGAGAAGGGAAACAAAAGAGCTAAAAAGAAAGGAAAAGGGAAACAACATTCTGTCAACCCAAAAGTCTTGGCCTTAGCGAATACCTTGAAGGATTACCAAAGCAAATGGACTTTATAAGGATTTTCTTGATATATTCAGGTTCTGCACGAGGTTGCATTTACAGAATAAGAATATATTACTGTTGTGGTTAGGTAACAAGTTATTGTTATGTTGAAAATACCGTATATGTTGTACCAAAGACTGCATATTTGTTTTGTCGCACAAATTTGACGATTTTGTTATGTTACTTATAGTTATCAAAGTTAAAAGACATTTCTCAATAAATATTGACCGTTATTCGTGAAAAATGTTGGTATTAAAATGTCTTATTTATTGCACTTCCAAGTTCAGTTTTACGCGTATTAGGTGTTTATTAACAGTTGCAGTGTTTATTAACGGTACTTTCCTAGTTTTATATTAACATATTACTGTAAAATTACAAATTTCTGTTGAAATACAGTCTCTGTAATTTTACAGTATTTATTCTGGCGTCCAAGCTGCCAGTACTTTTACTGTGCTTTAGCATTACAATGTACTGAATATTAGCAGTACAATATACTGTATATTAGCAGTTCATTGTACTGTAATTTAGCAGTTCATTGTACTGTAATTTTGCAGTTCAATGTACTGTATATTAGCAGTTCATTGTACTGTGATTTGGCAGTACAATCTACTGTATATTAGCACTACGTTCTACTGTATATTAACAGTACTTTTCTGGTTACACATTAACATAATATTCCTGTAAAATTACAGTTCTCTGTTAAAATACAGTCTCTGTAATTTTACAGTATTTCTTCTGGCGTCCAAGCTGCCAGTACTTTTTACTGTAAAATAACAGAGATTTTTTTAACAGTGTATAGCCTTTTGGTAGGTGACATTGTTGCCGTAAATCCAGGGAAAGAAAATGGAATTCCCAGCGGTGACAAATGGTGGTTACTCCAGGTGAATAAGGCCCTTCCATGTACCAAATCTTCTAGTGGCTGCCATGTGTCAGGATTTTGGTTAGAAATGTTACCATCCTCACAACAACCTGAACAAGGCTGTGCACTAAAGTTACAAAGAGATAGTGCAAAAACTTATTATGGCAGTCTGATAAAAAAAGATGATAAGCCTGCTGTCATACCAGTTGAGGAGCTTAATTCTGGATGGCAGGATGGTGCTGCTGTGTACAAATTAACCCAGGAATTTGCACATAGCCTGGATGAAATTTCAGATGACTTCAGGCATTGTTTGGGCAAACCTGATGAGAGGGAATTGCAGAGTAGTGACAGTGGAAGTGAAGATGATGCAACGACACGCGAACTTGCACATTCTGTGCAAGAGGAAGTTCTTCAACTGTCAAGGAGAAGAATTATACGAGGTAGAGAAGGCCAGAATATTAGATCATATGCAGAATTGTGTGGACAAAGGCAAACTAAAATAATTAGACAAAAACGGACGCATATGCTAGGGCTAAGTACAGACATAGTCGAGTGTGCAGATAAAGATTAAATTCATTAGTATATAGTTGCCACATAAGTATTTGATTTTTAATAGAGTTTTAATAGATTTGTAATAGTATAATAACCAGGACATGAACAAGGTTGATTGTAAACTTTGAAGTAGAACATTTCATTGTTTCGAACTCTATATTAATATTAAATGTACAATATTCACCTGGGGCCGGTTGTTCAAAGCTGGGTTAGTATAACCCTAGGTTAACCTAAAATTCAAAGCAAACGTCCTGACGGCTTAATTGTCTATAAATTTGGAAATATTTCTTCAGAGATCTTGTTAGGATCGATAGGAGTTTACTTCTCTGAAGTTTTGAAATAAACAGACATGTAGAAATACACAAACTAAAACAGCAGGTTGAATTTTAATCCAGGGTTAGCGCTAACCCACCTTTGAACAACCGGCCCCTGGCGGCTAGCTGGCACATTGCATTTCTAAAATTATGACACATTTGCACATCCAACAAGGATTCCAAAATTTATTGTCTATTTTTGAGCCATTGGATGTTTGCATGAAGCCATGGCATAATGTCAAATGCTAATTTTAGCATTCCAATGAACCACTGGCGCTGACCATATTTTGTATACAAATACTGTATTGCAAACTGTTAAAAAACTACTTATAAACTTATTAAGGGTATACGGTACAGAAATGCATTGTGCCAACAAATCAGTATATTACACTTATCTTGAACTTACCAGTTTGTGTTGAGTTAAAATATAATTCCAATGATATATTTCAGACCTTTAAAATTCTCTTGTATATTATATTATAAATGTTCAGTTAATAGTTGTTTCGTGTCGCGCCCGCGATATACTTTTTGGTTAAACCGCTATCTGGTGTGAAACTCTAAAAAAAATGGCGGACTACATACTCGTGTTTTTAAATATATCAAGGGTTCCACAAAGATTCAAAATGCCGTACGTTTTGCTTATGGTATGTAAATGTAGTCATTGTTTACTGTTTATTTTTTATTTAAGTATAGGGTAATGTAAGCTATGAGAGTTGCCAAGCTTGCAAATCTCATTTGTCGTTTGACAGCTAAACTCAAATGGGCTATTCCATTTAATATCCGTTACCCCCTATCGAGGACCTTGGAATTCTTCAGGGGTAAGGTAATTTTTAACCCTGGAATTCCTCATGGGTGAACAAATTCTCCTGTGGAATTCTTCAGGGGTTGGTTATTTTGAATGAGATTTCCTCAGGGATCAGATGTAAAAATTGAAATTCTTCAGGGGTAAATGCTATTTAACAGGAATTCTTCAGGGGATCTCTTTATGTCAGGAATTCTTCAGGGATATGGTAAAACCCTTGTCCTCGATAGGGGGGTTACGTCTTATAAATGGAATAGCCCAATTTATACAGCATGTCAGAATCGTCCAATTGTAAAGTCTGCATGTAAAGAGCTCATAAGGCGTTGTTAAGAAAGACTCTGTTCTTATTCACGACTATTGAGTGGCCAAAGTATTTGAATGAACTTGAGTTCACAGTTATATAATAAATACATAAAAAACAACAACAAAAGGTAAATGGCTCTTGTTGTGAGTTTTGGCGATTTTGGGAATATTTTGCTTTCTTGTTGGCGAGTTAATGCGGTTTAAGGCGATTTTAGGCGATTTAAGAGAATTTCCGGAAATTGTAAGCTGCGATTTAGGGCGATTTTAGGCGATTTAAGGCGGTTTAAGGCGATTTACCGCCCCAGAGTAGGCCTAATACACGAATATTTACGAATGCTATTACGAGTATATACGAAGCTTGCGGATCGGTTCGGTTCGGTTGAGGTCAAACCTCACCGTCACCGCGGTTTAACCTCAAAATTACCGCGGACTAACCTCGGTCAAACCTTTAAATCACCGCGGTCTCACCGCGGTCAAACCGAGGTTTTTGTTAGGTTAATTCCGAGCGGTACTGTACAACCTTTGGAATACTAGCCCAATGCTCTGCCAAAGAATACTAGCCCAATGCTCTCCCAATGCCTTTGCCAAAGGTCATAGGTTCGAATCCCAGCGTGGCCAGGCATATTTTTCAACCCTGCCCGGTGTGGATATACAGTCAGAGTAACATCACACAATATGGATTCTTGCACTTCACTTGGTGGAATTAATATTAGAATGTTAGGGTTAGTAATCCAAGTGAGAATATATACATTTTAAGACCTAACCTGGAACGACTGCAAAAAATGCAACACAAGGTCCTCTGGTAGGAATCGCAGGGCCGTAGGTTCATTTCCTACCAGAGGACCTTGTGCTGCATTTTACGCAGTCGTTCCTGGTTAGGTCTTAAAATGTATATATTCTCACTTGGATTACTAACCCTAACATAATTTTCTAATAACATCACACAAGCATCTTATTCACCAGAGTACATATTACACCAACACAGCAAATATTTTTAACAACTGACCCCTGGAGGTGACTACCTCACAGGTGTTTGTTGTGCATGAATATTGATGTTGTTGTGGATGATGTCATCGTGATCGTAATCCTGACATTAAAACCTAATCCCGAATCTAAAACTGCAACAAAATCCCATGAGTTAGTCAAGGACAGCTGTGAATTTGATGTCATCATGATGTTACTCAAATTACACAAAGACATTGTAGGGGGCCTCATTGTTAAAATAATTATGATTATGGCTCAATTTCCATATTAATGATCCCAAAATTTAATCTCCAGTCCTTACCTTAAAACCAACTCTAGTTCTATTGGTTACCCTGACTAATTCTAGTAATTATCCTTTCGGCACAAAGTTATATGGAATGTGACCCATGATTTTACAAGCAAAAGGAGGGAAAACATTTGGGAAAACAAATGGTTCCTTGCTATTTCTCAAATGGCAAGGCATAACATTTGTTCTCCAGATAATTTGAGCGAAGTTTGCAAAGTATAATCACATAATTACTGTGTGGTGTAAAGAAGTTGACATTCTGGTTAAAAGTTTCAATTGAATATTTACAAAATAATATAAAATAACCATTGATACTTAAATGCTTAAATTCTTTCAGTACTTCATTGTCTCTTTAATGCATGTTCTATTGCGTTAATCGGGAATGAGAGTTTGTCTGCTCACTTGAGATGCCTCACCAGTATTGAACTGTTTGAGAATGCCAAATACTATACTAGCGTTCACTACACTTAAAAATGCCTCTGTCATGTGTGTATCTGATGCAGCTCTTACTTTTTTCGAGAATTGTAATGAAAAGCAGCAGTTTTAGAAGAAGCAAAGGAAACTACAAAAATTACACATTCTCATCCATGGTGTGCATGTTTGCCTTGTCCACAGTAATTCAGTGTGCCATTCAGTCATTCTACCCACTCATCAATGATACTGTAGCGAAAGAAAATTGGGATTCCTTGGATTCAATTGTACAATACAGTATATCCACGGGATTATCTTGATGGCAGTGCAATTGAATATGTCCATATCTTTCATTGTGCTGCGATGCCACCGTCTTATTTGGTTGATCGAAGAATTCTATCTACCAAAAATCATTTTGTTACCTTGTGCAAACCAGTTAAAGCACTTCAGCCACGAGACCATTATTTTAAAGCACACCTTCCAACCTTATTGAAGTCTGCGATGCCAGTTCATCCTAAAGTTCCTCCTAAAGTTTCTACTAAAGTTTTTTCTGCTCCTTCCTCTACACAAGTGACTACATTTGCTAAAAAGCAGACGACTGGTCCAAAAAGAAAACAAATTAGCTTAGATCGATGCGCTTCTTGTGAAACGAGCGTGCAACACACAAGAAACTGTAGACAGTGAAATCAAATTTCCCAGCACTAGTAAAGGAAATTCATCTGTAACTCCCAACACTGGTCCTACTTCAGAAAAATATAACACCAAAACACAACGAACTTCCACCAATTCGTGGCCAGATGATATCTACACTACATAAATCTGGTGTCCAGTCTTCCTGATTCAAAAAAGTACGAAATTCTGTGCAATCATTGCCATTGGAAACCTGGTTCTGATTTTTCTTTTCCTCCACACGAAAATATTGGTAGACGTTTCCGGTTGGCATGGTTATCACGATTTCCATGGTTGGCTTACTCTGCTGTGGCAAACGGTGGTTTTTGCGTCACTTTTGTTCTTTTTGGCAGTGAAAGCACGCATAATGCAAGCGAGCTCCAACGATTGATGACCAGTGCTCTTCCTCCAAGTGCTTCTGCTGTCCAGAAACTATGTCAGCATGGTGAAAAATCCAATGTTCACGCAACGGCAACTCTCCATGCTGCACGGTTTAAGCGAATGATCGAGAATAAGACCGACTTGATATCGATGTGCAGCTGAAAAACCCACCCCGTAAAAGATCTACGTTGCAACTGAAACGCCAAGATGATTGAGTTCGATGTACAGCCCTAATTGTATATTTTTTGCTACGAAGAACCTGAAATACACAGGAACAGTACGTGCGGTACAGAATTGTGGTTTTATGTAAGTACAGTGATTTTGTAACATTCTAATGTTGTAACGTTCGCTGAAGAACATGGTATGTTGTTTAAATATTTGACTTATTTAGTGCGTTTCGTTATTTGCTGTCTAAAATATGGCGTAATTAATGACGAATTATATGATAGAATTCGATGCTCAGAACTCAGGAAATGGCATTTCCGGGGTTCAAATTTCAAAAATTTTCCGGGGGGGAATGCCCCCGGACCCCCCTAATTATGCGCGGTTTTGGAGTGCGCCACGGTCAGGGTTTAGGCTGGATCCGCGCCTGTATAATACATTGATATGTATGAATGTACATCTTTAGTTTGGTCTCTGTCTGTCAATCTATATTTAACAATTATTGAATGAGGTTGAGCACGATATGAAGAATTATCAAGCCCGAAGTTTGCCGTTATCAACTGAAGCCGAAGGCTGAGGTTGATAACGACAAACTGAGGGCTTGATAATTCTTCATATTGTGTGAAAACCAAATTCAATAATTCTTTTATTAATATTTATTTAAAAAGTTCAAAACAAACGGTCATCCATTTGTTCGCCCACGTTAATAATCAGCCAAACAAGAATTAGGAAAAGTGTTCTTACCTATTCTAGAAGATTTTGCTTATCTTTTTGTATTGAACGAATCTTTATCTTCCAGTAATTTTTGAATTTCGGCTTCGCCAAGGTTGGTGGCGAACCTTTCAGTGGAAGAAGCCATTTGTATTTTACTTGTATTAAGAAAAAAACAATTCTTTAGTCCTTCTGCAGCCGTCGTCGTCATATCACGGAGCTTTAGATTTGACTACGAGTACGACTACGAGTACGAGATTTGATCGCGTCACATAAAACGAATGTGAGAATGTCAAAGCATGGATTGAAACATATTTTTAGCTTTACAGTCAACTCGGCCCACTAACCAACTCCCAGTATGGAATGTAAGTGGTGTGCACAGCACATGTACCGTGCACAACGTTGCTCCTGCTAATATATTTACTAGCATTTTGGTCACATTTTGGCAAATGTGCGGTGCACAAAAGTGTCATTCCAAACAGGACCAACTCGGCTCACCATTCAAGGACCAACTCCGCCCGCTCGTAAACTGACTATTCTAACCACTACACAAGCTAGGAGCCATGACTGGGTTCTATCTTTGCAAATTTTGAGAGAGATTTGAATGATCAGTAATTTAGTATCAAAACGGACAGATAGAGAATTTGAAACTTCCATAGATTCTTTAATTAATTAAATTAAGTCAAACTGGATATCCGTTCTCAAACTTAGTGAACTTTTAATACTCATCTGTACGCCCAATGCAACTGCAATTGCCTGACAGTATTGGTTTGGTGCTATCTTTTGTAAAATATTAGCTTTCCTAATATGTCAAACAGTAGTTAAACGATTGCGCCAAGATGGTGTGGGCCGAGTTGGTCAGTGGGCCGAGTTGACCAGCTTCCATATTTTTATACTTGTCTCATAAGGCCAAAAAAAAAATATGTGGGTTTCCGGTTTCTTCTTATAGAAACTTAGGTAGGGTAGGTCGGTTTTAACTTCTTTTTTTTTAAACTTTTTTTTATTTTTCCGAATAAGCGGACGCCATTTTGTTTAGTCAGTGCTTCCACATCCAAAGATAAATTTCCCTAATATTGCCTCAAATTTCAATTTTTCACAAACTTTTTCCTCTAAGTGGAAACACTTACAAGCATGATCCAATAAAAAAGTTTAGGGTCGGGATTTCAACGTCCAAAAGCTAGGTAGGGTCGGGAAACCGGAAACCCACATTTTTTTTTTGGCCTAACTTGAAAATTTCACAGTTTAATTCGCCACAGATAACCATATTTAAATTGTATTATCAAAAATAACTAAAGCTAGCGAAATTCTGCTAACGTAAGCAACAATTCATCGAATTAAAATAAGTTATTTCTCTTAAATACCTGCAGTATATTTGAAAGCGTCTCTTTATCAGAACAACTCAAATCTGCCGCCATCTTGAATCTATCCCAGTGTGACCAGGTTTTTTCAGGGCAAATAATTACCACATCCGGTTTTTAAAATTACTATTTTCGGTCTGAAATTACCACGGTGCTATATTTTCCCAATTTTACCATATTTTTTCGAAAAATTCCCCAAAAATGTTTGCGAGCGGGGGGGGGGGGCAAAAAAAATTTTCCGGACAAAAATTTTTCCGCACAACTTCCTCGTAAATTAGGGTCAAAAAATTTTTTCCCTAAAAATAATAAGTAAAACAACGCCAAAACCGTTTTTTTTTCGCTTAAAACAAGGCCAAAACCATTCTGTAAAATTTAGGGATTTTTCACCAAAATCTGTACATTTAGGGAGCGGTCAGTATTTATGGTGGGGGGTGGCACCGAAGAGAAATGTTTTTCGTGGCAAAAATTTTGCTGACCCGACCATTAAAAAGTCAAAAAATTTGATTACCCAACCTCAAATATCAATTGAAAAATAATTACCCACCCCTGGCCAAAAACGTCACAAAAAGATACCATTCAGTTGTCACACATGTCCTTTACCACTTCTGTGACATGAGTTTCATAACGGATTGTGAAATTTTCTGCAGTCTAAAGTTTCATGTTGTCTGCACATGTACTTTCTTTGGAAACACCATTTGTTTTGTCAAAATGATCAAGATAGTGACTCTGATTGATTCACATATTGTATTGACAAATGACTGTTGACATTGCTTTACAGTGGACGATATTTTGACAGTGAGTCATGTTTTTGAAATGACAATAAATTTTTATTACCCAACCCTTGAGTTGTTTTGTTTTGATTTACCCAACCTTTTACTTACTCAAAATTTTGTTTACCCAACCCTTTTCTCTTCGGTGCCACCCCCCACCATAAATAATGACCGGTCCCTTAAGGTCAGGAAATTTCAAATTACCACAATCAGCCGAAATTGACGAAAAATTACCACGCTAGTTCTGAAATTACCGTAGTAATTACCACAAATTTCCAATTACCACAATTGTCCAAAAATGACGAAAAATTACCACGGTAGTAATGAAATTACCACGTCTGGTCACACTGATCTATCCCAAAGTGCATTGGGCCATTCATTTAATATACACCCCCCCCGTATGGACGAAAATTTCCGAGGGGGGTTGAAAAAGCCGTTTCTGAGGGGTTGTGTGCATCGGCATCCTTTGATCTTTGCGTTTTTTCCGAGGGGCAAGGCAAAAATTTCTTAATTTCTGGGGGGGGGGGTGTTTGTGTCGGCACTTTGATCTTTTCTTCTTAGGGGTTCGAATTTTATTGAACTCGTCCATGTACATTACCGCCATTTGCAATTCAGCGTGCACCGTGCATTTTTTTCATTTTTTCCATTTTTTTCATTTTTTTTTTTATCGAATGGCCCCCAAATCTTTCGAACTTTTTTGAATTGAAACGTACTCTAGTTTATATTCATTTACAATAGCGACCCAGAAAAGTGTTTGGTATTCAGTTAGTATGTCTTATTGTATTGTATTAATGTATTAATGTATTAAACAAAGGATTTTTTTACATTACGGACTTGACATGGTCTTTAAAGCTCTAGTCTCGAAGCTATACTTCGGTAGCAGTCTTCGGTAGAGTCAGTAGACAAATAATTTGGCTATAAACGTTGTTTGATACATCTCGTTGCTACTCACAACTTCACGTAATTCACATGCCTATAAGTAATTTGCCAAACGAGGCTTGAAATTTATAGTAGAACCCCAACACTTACTCGCTAATTTGGGACAATAGGTTTCTTAATAGGCTTTGTTTATAATAGCATTGTATCAATTATTTTATATTGTTGTATACATATAAGGAAGGTAATCGCTATATTTATTTAGCTTCTGATTAATTGATTACTAAAGTTATAGGAACTAGTTCTATATATATTTATGTTAGAATTTTCCTTTGGAAGTTGTTTATAATTGCTGCCGAAGGCAGCAAACTATTCTTGACGATGTGTTTTTCTCGCACCAGTCCGTTTCCGGCTCGCGAGTTATGTGGATTCAACAAGTCATTTTTGGGAATCTTGTACGGATGATCAGATTTATGACGTATTTTGACGTCACAGAAATTTTACTGTAAAAATAACATACTCCAGATCGCGATTTGACTTTCCGAATACCCTGGTTGAACCTCGCGAACACCACCATGGACCATGACAATTTGTAAACATGTTTACATGTACGCATTGTGTCGCAAATTTTTTGTCTGGACTCTGGCTGTTTGTCGAAATATTTTTCAAGGTAAGATAAAAGTTTGATCACAAATACTGTAACAATGAGTTTTGGTCGATACGCGTTGAAACTTGAAGCGAATGAATTGACTACAAGTCTTCATATAAAGTTATAAACAAGTGGGTAGCTCGTCGATTGTAGCATTCATAGGCTTGATAGAACATCATACTTCAAGGAACTTCAAGGTATAAATAATGACAGTGATAGTTTATTATTAATATTGTTATTATGGGAATATAAATTGAGCAGTATCTTGCCCGCATTGGAACACACAATTGTATACGAATGAAAAATTACAGTAACTCACTTGTACGAAGATATTCCTATTGTGGAAATGTTAACCCAGTTACATGTAATAACATGGCGACCGATTTTTGTAAAAGGTATAATGGTCTGTAAGAATATATCTCTGAGATATGTCCATTATTAATAGCATAATATGAAATAATTCTACCGGCCTACATTTTTATATATTCACCTGGCTGTGTTACTACAGTTCAGGGTATACTATATTTTTTGATAATTAATGCTCACAATTTCTTGTATTATATAGTTCTGCAGTTCTGACTGAGTACAATCTTAATCATTACAAATGAATGGTGTCGCCATGTAGAAGCTGATGTATCACGTATGAAACAAAACTTTCAACAAATAGATTTTGTCTCCCCATCAGGTGTCAGCAGATTGTTCAGTGACAGTGGTTTTGCAACAGGGGTAGCCTTGAAGGTGCAGCTATTAAAATGATAACTGGGACAGAAACTGACTTAAATTCAATCTATATATATGAAATTGCTATTAAACTCTACATGTCCAATGACTCATTCAAGTATTATTATCGTTTATATATAATATGATAAATTTATTTATCGTTTATATATTTTGTCTAATATTCAGTGGCAAGCTTGCCATGGCAACTGGTCATGCCACGCCAATAAACCTGCATCTATTTGACCAATTGATGCAAATTATTAGAAACTTGCATAGCATGACCTGTTGCAATCATGGGAGTACGGGCCTAATCTTGTTTGGGGGGCACAGTATTACTTTGCCCGACCGTCGCTAATAAATATTTCACCCCAAAATTGGGGGGGGGGAGGTCACCAAATGCACAAATTTTTCCGGACATACAGTAACATAATTTTTTGGTTTGCATAACATTATTTTGTGAAATTTTTATGTTTTACCCGAATGACGCATGGATTTCTGCCTGACCGTGAAAATTTTGGGGGGTCTGTGCCCCCCGGCCCATACGCTTATGGTTGCAATGGCTAGATTCACCACTGACAGTATTATAATTATACATACAAAAGCAAGAAGTTATAAGCATTGAATATTTAGCTGACCTTTGACCTTGTGCAAGGTGTTTGATATTCAAATTGCACTTTTCCTACCTACTGAACAGGTGTCTTAGGGAATAGATTAGGTCTGTTTACATGATGGAAGATGGGATGTCATGATTTTGATGTATTGAAATAAGTCGGTAGGGCGTAAAAAAAAATACCTGTGGTTCCGGTTCCCGACCGACCCTATTTTTTTCTACCGACCCTATTATTTTTTCAACGCGATTGACTGTGCGACCCTATTTTCTCCAGGTGGTTGCTGGCTGCTCATACAGTGTGCCAAAATGGCGTCTGTTGTCACACTAATTATTGAACCAAATTGTCTAAATTCGTCCATAGGAAATACGCATCTCTAGTTAATATTGATGTTGGGACCCTACTGCAAATCGCCCAGCAAAAAACCGCCAAAACCATGAAAAAAATATTCAAAAAAAAATTATTTCCGACCTACCAACCCTAATTTTTTCGCGATATGAAACCGGAACCACAGGTATTTTTTTTACGCCTAGGTTAAACAAAAGTTAAAATGCTGGTTAAGAGAATTCAAATATTGTAGAAAAGATCTTGTAGTTCCAGAAGATTGTTATTACATTTCATTTTACAGTACAGTTAACTAAATCTATCTCCAGAAAATAATGAAGTTCTTTTGCTGAATTGTGCACTGTGACTTGTTTCAATACATCAAAATAACCCCGCCTCACATCTCTATGGCAAAGCGGGATCATATATAAAACAGCCCCTATTCAGCAAATTGCACATGCAGCCTTCGATCCCTTGGGGGTGAGGCAGCACTTTCCTTGCGATAGTAACTTCTAGTATAGTATATATTTTTGAGTTGAACGGCGAGATTTCCTTCGGCACGTCCAAACTTTCGTCATTTTTTCAAAATACAAAAGCAAAATTCCTTACTTTTTGCTGCAGAGAGATGTAAAACAGTTGGAACTAATCGGAAACTTGGTTTAAATCCCAATCATTGTTGTATTCCCATGGGAAAAGTGTTTTTCTTGCAAATTTTTGCTCGAAAACAAACTTTTGACAGAATTTTTTTCACTCCTCGAAACTCTCCTTAGTCCTTTTGAAAGCTGATTTTCCCGCGCGCCGGCTTCAACGAATCATAGACTTTCATCATAGGAGTTAGCCTTCCAGTTATTATTAGAGTTCACTGGTCGAGCGTTGCACCCACTGGTTGCACCCACTGAGCTATACTATAACTGGAGGACGTGCTCGGCATCAAAAAGTGTCGCCAAAAACATGGCGGATTTCGGCCTTTGCTGACGCCAGAATGACGCCATCTGGTTCCTTTTGCTCATGCAATTACCACTGAACAAGGCTCAATTTTGAGCCCGCTACAATTTTCACTCCCCTGGTTTTTGCAAAAAATATTTTGTTGTTTTTGCAGTCGTAGTTTTGGATTTTTTACATAATTTTTG